ACATGGAGGGGATTATAATCAATGTAATGAAACAAGGTATATGATTTGTTGAATGTAAAACTAATGATATGCCCTATAAACTTTCACTCAATCCACAATAAAAACCTTAAAAAAAAAGAGTATGTGGGGGAAGATAGAGTAGCCACTGAATAGTTTTCATCTTGTCTAGACGGGTCTGGTGAAAAGAGATGGGAATAAGATTCTTATGATTCAATAGTGAGTAATTATTATCATGACTAATTGTGACTGTCACAACTGTAAAGGTAGTTTTGTAACAAAAACCAGGGAGTAGTTAATCTTATAGCCCAGAAACAGAGAACCCTAGGACCATCAAGGGAGAAGAGCATCAGTGGAATGCGGGACCTTATCCAGAGACGCAGCAACATCAGAGATGGAGGCAGAGATGGGAACATGGAGGACAAAGCAGCTGAGGACTCTAGATTCATGGGAAGAAAGGGACTGAGAGCTGGTGGCCAGGAGGCAGACTTGCAGAATGTGCCCTTTGGTGGTGTAAATTAGTATGTATGCCTGAGTGTTTTAAAAAAAAAAAAAAGAGCTAAAATGAATAGAGAAATACTGTTAACTGATATTACATGAAACTGATGTTTCATTACATCATTGTAATGAAACAAGGTGTATGATTTGGTGAATGTAAAACTGATGATCTGCCCTGTAAACTTTACTCAATTCACAATAAAAACTTAAAAAAAAAAAAAGCCTTGGAAACCCTAAACGGTCTCTGTGAGTCGGAACCAACTCGATGGCACTGAGGGCTAGGAAAATGTTCTGGAATTAGACAGTGGTGGTGGCTGGTGGCTGTGTGCCGTAGAGTCGATTCCGACTCATAGCAACCCTGTACAGGGTTTCTGAGGCTGTAAATGTTTATGGGAGCAGAACTCCTCGTTTTTCTCTCACGGAACAGCTGGTAGTTTCGAACTGTTGACCTTGCGGTTCGCAGCCCAATTTAACAGTGGTGATGGTATCTAAATAAAACCCCACATAAATAAAACCCATTTAGACCATCAAATATGTAACAGGAGGAAGGGGTTCTCCAGGTACCAAGACAGACTGATTGCCAAGATACATTGTTAGGTGCAAATCTATATGCTCTCTCTCCCCTCTAAACACAACTCCTACTGATTACTGCATTTTGTCTACACACACATGCACATTCCACACATAGCCCCGGGATACACCCCACAGTCCAACTGAATATATACTTCATTTCATTTATACACTGCTTCTACACATACCTGAACACACACACACAGTTTTCTCTGAGTGGTAGGGCTATGGGAAACAGAATGCATGAAACAGGCAAAAAAAAAAAAAAAGAATTAGGAAGCCGTGGCTATACCTATGCAATTAAAGGTGATTTTTCATTTATAGCTAATGCCAGCAAACAATCCTTTCAATTTCTTGAACCTCTGAAGACAGCTCTGGATCTGTGTGACGAACCTGCTGTCTGCTCTAAATTTCAGCTCTTAGACCTTAGGCCTCCTTGAGGACCGTATTCACTGCAGGCCTGGGACACAGGGACACAGAGCCTGGAAAACTGACCTAACAGATCCACAACCAAGGAGAGCTCGGCCTCCCACCACAGCCAGACAGACCTCCTGGGCAACAAACGCAGACTAGATTCTATCCTCAGATCAATTCCTGAAAGCCATGCGGAGAGTACACACCACCTGTATTTGTATGTTCTCTGAGTAAATGTTTACATCTCACCACTAGACCGACAGCATCCTGGACACTATCCAGTTTTCCCGACAACAGACCAAGAAGACACCAAGAGACATCCTAAAAACAGACTGGCCAGTCACACCGATGTAGCCAAAATGCTATGCCATCCAAACATAAAAAAGGGTGGAACTACAAAAACTAAGGGCACCTGACACTCTGAAATGTGTTTCCAAAAGGGCTGTCCACTGGGGAATTTCCCTGTTTCATCTCTGCTGGGTTTGGGCAAATATTTTTGTTACTGGAAGTCAGGTCCCCGTTTAATCATAAATATAGGTATTTCAAAGGGCTCAGAATTAAGTGTGGCTACTGTAGGATAATCAGTGACATATCGTCAGTTTGAACCGCAAAGTCGGCTGTTCAAACTCACCAACCACTCCTCGGAAACTCTATACAAGGTCACTGTGAGTTGGAACCAACTTGACAGCACTTAACAACAACAACATGAGGGGCTTCAAAAAGCTGGTGCAAAGTTCCATTATCTTTTAATCCCATTTTTTCACAAACTTTGTCAAGTCCCCTCGTCTCCTAAACCATTTTACTTTCCATAATGAAATTCTCTTACCTTTGTTCTTGAATTGGGCACCTAAACAAAAAAGAAGGAATACATTGTAAGTACCACAAAGACAACCATTGATGTTTCAGAGTATGAATGTACGCGTTGGTGGTATAGTGGTGAGCATAGCTGCCTTCCAGAGTATGAGTCTACAGCTGAGGTCTCCTTTGAAGAGCTCCACCTCCTTCTACTTATTGTCCTCCCCCATCTTCTCCAGCCTCACTTCTCAAATGCCAAGACACCCTATGAGGCCATTTTGAGCTTCGGAGAGGACAGGAGACATGTCTGGGGAGGCCTGTGCTAAAGGAGAACTGTGCCTTGGATGCCTGAGGGAGGGATCACTTCCAGGGCAACTGTGACAAGTCAAAATAGCTGGCAGAATGAACAAAACTGGATAGATGGCTTCGAGGGAAAGGAAAAGATGAAAACTGGTTCTGAAAACTAAAGCCCAGAATAAAAATGGTGCCATGGACCACCCTTACCCTACCGCTTCCCCCGTCCCTATCCCACACAAAAAAGTGGGAAATCAGAAGGGAGACTCTGCACAATAATTATGGTTTTCAATCAAAGAAAAGTGTTCTGTCTCCTTGCACCCTTCCAAGTGGGCCAGGGGCCTCCGCACTTGTATTCAGTTGAGAGTTGGGTTGCTGCAAGCAGAGAAGGGGGCCCCTCCGACGGCTACCTCATCTCCATAAGGTTCTGCCCTGGCGACCTAGTTCATCTACCAACAGAGAGCAGATCTTTCTATTCTGGTCTGTTTGTAAGAGAGAGAGAGGTCTTTTTGGTGCTAATAGGATTATTTTTGTCACAGGCATTAAAAATGTTTCTAAGTTCCTTAAATTTTTGGTTGTCAAAACTTTTTTTTTTTTAATGTGAAAAACACCTATTATTGGCCATCATTAAAAGGAGTCAAAGGCAATTATGTGCTAACTTTGTAAAACGAAAAATTATTTCAGTGACAAACTCAATAAGCACTGAGAGCAGAAATTTAAACTTGAGTGAGGGTCAATCATCCACTTCAATTATTCCATACTTGACTCATTTTAAAAGGGTACAAAGAATAGAAACCATTCCAAAAGGACCAGTTCAAAATCAACCTTACCTTCAAAATTTCAGGGCTGCTGTAAGAAGCCATTTGAAGGGCTTTGATTTCTTCACACTGCTCCAGATTTATCCTCCTGGTGCACTTAACAGCTTGGCTCACCAAAAATGCTGGAAATCAGAACGTTCCCAAGGTAAGAAACAGTACAAAACAGAAGACATGTTATGACTACAATGGCAAAGTTATAGTCTAGGTAGGACCACAAAATAAGTGACAACATAGATGTGTGGAATATTTAAAATAGGGTCTTTAAGTGGGTGGGATTTTTCCTAAACAGGTAATACATTCACGGAATTCAAGATTCCTTTCCCCAGAGGCAACTAGCATAAAGCTTCTTCTATACCCTCTGGAAACACTTTTACATATAAAAGCAAATAGGTGTGTATATATATTTATAATTTCTTTCCCCTTTGGGCACAGGTGCATGATATATAACCTATTTTCCCTCGGGTTTTTTTGTATAGAACAATGTATCTTAGAGATCCGTCTGTCTCGGTACATGGAGAGCGCCCTCCTCCTGTTTCAGAGATAATCAGTAGACTATTAGAGACATGCCATCATTATTCAACCAGTTCCCTACTAATGGACATTTAAGTGGTCTCTTTCTCTCCCTTTGCAACCACAAGTACTGCTGCAATCTGTTATTTTGCATGTGGGCAGAGTTTCTGTAGGATTAACTCCTAGGGGGAGAACAGCTGGCCAAAGAGTGCAGGCATTTGGCATTTGGCATTTGGGCAGATGGTGCTAAGTGCCCTCACAGAGGTGGGACCGATTTCCAGCCCTGCCCCAGCAGGAGGTGAGGACCCACTGGCCACCGCTTCAATGTTATAAGCTTTGCCAACCTGAGATATGAAACTGGTATCTCCGTTTGGTGTCAATTTACGCTGTTCCTATGATAAGCCAGGTTAAGTGTCTTTTCAACTAGATACATATTTCCGTCATGTAGCAAGTGATGTCTTCACTAAGCTGAATGCTATCTTACATGGCTTCTTTCCAGTGAGGTTTACTTCAGAAGTGCAGGGCCTGCAATCTGCCTTCCCCAAATGAAGGGACTGCCCTGAGGATTCTGCAATGCTCCTGGAAGGAGAAGCTGTCTGTGGAAGGCAACAGCAGAGAGGGGCTGCCTGCAGATTGCCTGGGTCCCATCCCCGCTCCAACACGTTCTGAGCAAGTCTGAGCAAGAAATCCAACACCTCAGATTCTCATCTAAAAGATGGCGACTATCACCTACTCATGGTGAGGACTGAATGGCAAAGCCCATGCAGACATTTAGCACCATACCCAGCCCACACAGGGTTTCACACAGATTAGCTGAGGAAAAGATTGCCAACAACCGGAAACACCTGAGTGGGCTCCTTCCAGGCAGTGAGTTTCCCATCACTAGACACCGCATGTAGAGGAAGATTCCTGGCCAGGCTGGAAAACGGGACTGAGCAGCCTTTGAGGCTGTTTTAGTTATGAACCTTGTTGACTGAGGACTCCTGTCTTTAGGCGAACAGCAAACTGTTTCCAGAAGTAAGTCAGAAGGCACCCCTCCTACCTGCAGGGTTATCATCAGTGCACAGAGAGGACGTGAGAGGAGAGGGAAATCTCAGGAAGGACTCTCGAGTTTGCAGAGGCATACCATACTGCAAAGAGAAGAACCGGGAGCTGTTAGCGTGTCATTCAGTCATTTACACAACACCTACTCCAGGCAGACAGAATTGTGGGCACCAGGGACAGAGTGAGGAACAAAACACAGACATGGCCCTTGTGCACAGGGAGCTTGTATCTAACTGACACCCCGCCTCCTTTTTAAGGCTATGGTTTTGTGTGTCTGTCTGTCACTATATGGAGTCCTGGTGTCAGAGGAGAAGCACTCGACCTCAAGGACGGTTTGAAAGGCAAAGTCGGCGGTTCAAACGCACGAGCTGCTCCACAGCACTTAACAACAACAACAGCAACAATCTTACTATATTGGTAAGTTCTTTGATAAGGAAATATCTCGGGAAGGATAGCCAATATGCTGCTGTAAGTATAGGTCTCTACAGACAGGAACAAGGTAGGCTGGGGACAAGGGATGATAATAAACCAGCTGCCATCAAGTCAACCCTGACTCATAGTGTCCTCACGTGTGTCACAGTAGAGCTGTGCTCTGTAAGATAAGACCTTCAATGGCCAGTTTTTCAGAAGTACATCACCAGGACTTTCTTCCAAGGTACCTCTGAGGGGACTTGAACCTGCAACCTTTCAGTTAGCAGTCCAGCACATTAAACCAGGGACTCCATAGAGAATGTGGATAACTAGAAATCCAACTTTTATACAATACCCCAATTCAAAACCAAACCCACTGCCATCATGGCAACCCCACAAGTTGCAAGAAGAGAAGTGCTCTATCCGGGGCTTTTGTTATGTTTGTCGGTTGGTTTTGTTGCTGTTGTTGGTGTTGTCTATTTAGCTCTGAGTCATAGCAACCCTGTGCCCAGCAGTTCTGCTCGGTCCTATGTGTGAGCCCACTGTGGTAGTCACTGTATCACTCCATCTTACTGAGTCTTTATTTCACTGACCCTGTATTTTACCAAGCAGAAGCACATACACGAAGTCCCGCTATTTTGGCTGTACTTCTGTCAAGACTATTTGTCTGGCAGTTTCTGGTGTATTCAATATTCTTTACCAACACAATTAATTCAAAGGCATCAATTTTCCTTTGGTCTTCTGTATTCACTGTTCAGCTTATGCATGCTTATGAGGCAACTGAAAATACCATGGCTTGGGTCAGGTACGTTTTAGTCCTCAAAGTGACATTTTTACCGTAGAACACGCTGAAAAAGATCTTTTGCAGCAGATTTGGCCAATGCAATATGTAGTTTGCTGTCTTGACTGTTGCTTCCATGGATGTAGATTGTAGAGCCAAGTAAAATGAAATACTTGACAATATCCATCTGTTCTCTGTTGATCTTATTACTCAATGGCTCCACAGGGTTTTCACAGTAATCTTGAAGGCAGCAGATTGCCAGACCTTCTGTGGGGCAGCTGGGTGGGTCAATCCACCCACTGTAGGTGAATACTCAAGTGCAAACCATTTATACCACCCAGAGGCCTGTTTTCTAGGTGATACGACATCTGCATTTTTAAAGAGGCACGTAAGAATCAAGACTAATACAAACTAATCTGCTAGCATTTGCCACATGAATTTTAAATCCCTGGTGATACAGTGGGTTCGAACCCACCCGCCCGCTGCTCTGTGGGAGAAAGCTGACGCTGCCTGCTCCCATTAGGACAGACAGCCTCCAGAACTCAGTGGAACAGCTCTCTGTCCTTATTGTCACCATGAGTCAGGATCAACTTGACAGAAGTGAGTTTGGTTTTAAGTTTTACTTCTATCCTTTGGAGTTTTAGAACTAGCTCATGTGACTTTTAATGAATGGGCTCCTAGCGTGGCACTGTAGGATCAGCACCTGACTGCGAACCACAAGGTCAGTAATTCAAACCCATCAGTTGCTCCTTGGAAACCCTATACAGGGTGGCATGAGTCAGAATCAACTCTAAAGTCTGTAACACTAAACGTGATTCTGAGAGAAGGACTAGGCGTCCTACCATCCACTCTGTGTTCCTCGCACCAAGCCTCAAGCATTTGCTGCATCTTGTGACGTTAACAACAAAGAATTCAGCGGAAACAAGCCCATCACAGACCAAAGGACATACGAATTCTAGGCGTCAGGAGAGCCAGTTGTGCTGGTAACATGGTGAAAAATTAACTTCCAAGGAAATATGAGCAATACAGCAAGAAGACTTAACCAGGTTCTGGACTCACCTCATATTTAGCAGAAGTACGAGGAGAATTCAATTTGGTTGTGGAAGAAATGTCTGATTCTGCATTCAGTGGGAAACCACCAGATGTTTTCATCAATTTATCAAAACTGTTTTCATCAGGCACTTCAGGATTAATAAAAGACAATGCAGGTTTATCTGGTTTTGGGAAAACATTTTAAATCAGTATGAGATACAAAACATATGATTACATATCCCCTAGATAGTATTCTGGAAGGTTTTTCAGTAGCGCTAAAGTTGATGTGAAAAGATGAAATCTTTTTCCATATTCACATGGAATCTTATTAATAAGTACACTGGCTCCCCCTGGACTTGACCTGCTTTTCCAGGAGTGTGGAACAGTGGCTTCTAGAGTCAACAGAAAGAGCAAACAGAAGCCACAAGGCATGACTTTTCCTCTGGCCCAAAAGCTGGCAAGTCTGTTGCACCTCCAAGGAGAGGTACTCTCTGGTGGTCCCTTTTCTACCTCACACGGTCCCCTTCCAAAGCCTGGAAAATAATGTGCTGAGTACAAAGAAGACAGTGGCTCGTTTGTGCACTGGCCTGTGGTGTGTTAGAAACATAGGGACAACTGACCAGTTGTCACTCAGAGCATAGAGATGAGACATGACCAGAATATAAAGACATTCAGAAAAGTTGACGAATACAGTAAACAGATGAATAAAACCAGTGACAGCTCTGAACTTCAATGTCGTGACAATGTTTTACACTTAACATATACTTTGGACCTAGACACCTACTTGAGGTAAATACCCAGATAAAAATAAAAGTCCTGATTTCATGCAAATATTCTTAGTAAAAATAAAAAAGAAAAAGGAAATGTAAACCACAGGTAATTTTCCAAGCAGAACCTGATTCTCAACCATTAAACCGAGAGGAAATAAAGTTAAAAAAAAATTACATAAATAAATCTAGGTTCCTATCTGTGGCTACATAGTATAAAACACCTTTTAAATCAAGGATAAGATTCCTAAAGGCAGCTGTTGTTGATGTTGTTAAATGCTGTCGGGTAGATTCTGACTCATAGTGACCTTATACGAGGTTTATGAGGTTTTGGTGGGTTTGAACTGCTGACTTTGTGGTTAGCAGTCCACTGTTTATCTTACAGCACCATACCAGAACTCCAAAAGGCAACTAGAAGATGTGTGCAATCAGGGCAGATTACCCAATGAGCAAGGTAAGCAGGGGTTTACTTATGCTTACTGATTAAACTGGAGTGAATAATTTCACATGTGAAATAAAACTGTCTGTGCTTGTCTTGCTTATTGGGTCCTCAGTCCCTGTCACAGACTATACATTTGAAAAGAGGTTTTGACTCTGCAGGAAGGTTCTATGAGATTGGGAAAGACCGATGTCAACCAGACCACAACAAGACTCTTTGATGTGGTGGGGAAAAAGCCAGGTAAGCTCTCCTCAACCCTAACATTGGCTGCTTGAAAGCTAGCGGAGTGGGAAATGCTGCCATAAAACAACTTTAAAACATTTCCCAGCGTTTCTCAAGATACTTCAATGTCAAGTACTTACAGTTTGTAATATGGACGCAGAAAATAGATGGGTTGATTATATCAACAAGTTTAAAAACTCTTTCAGGTGGGTCTGCTGTAAAATTCATGGAGTAAACGGCTGCTTTCTGACTGCAGAACCGGCTGTCACCCCTACAAGCAGAAAAGAATACAACAGAGAGACGGCGTGGGCACACCATGTTAGCAAGCTCATCTAAAACTGTTAGACGCTTGTGCTGCACTAACTAGGTCAATGGCTACATGGAGGACATTCATGAGGGCGTGATGACAGAACAGGAGCCATCTTAATCCTGTGTATTCGGTGCTAAAATGTTTGGCATTTGAGACTTTTCCCTCAAAAAAAAATTTACGACAAGTAGAATAATCTTAAGGAAATCTTGTGGAGTATGGACTAGAAGTCAAGGCCCAATCTTTATGGAAAGGAGCCTGACGCAACCCATTATATAAAATTCCATGGAACTTCAGGTTGTTTATAACTACTAGATCAGGAATGGGTCCAAATTTCTTGTCCTTAGGATAAGGCTGTTTTCAAAGGATTGTGAAAATGAGACAATGTGATGTCATCTGCAAGTTTCACGGTTTCGAAGTTCTGGTACAGGCAGGCACCAGACTTGACAAACCCCAATCATATCGATCAACTGAATATCACTATGGAAGGTGACAGAAAAGCAAAATGGGGTAGGGTGATTCAGAAAATCTTGAGTTTGCAGTTTTAAAGTAAAGTGGGTTT